AAATAATATAAGTTGTGTAAAATTTCTTTACTATGCGAAATGCGAAAAAGAATGGAGTCATTATCATTGTTAGAGAATCGTGTTAAATAATGTTACGAAGTTAACTTCCTTTTCAATATCTTATAGAAAAAAAACGGAATCCTTCAAGAACGAGTACTTCCGACTTCACGTATAAGTTTGATGATTATTTCCGACTTCGGGCCCGGTATGGCCAGGAAGTTAGGGCGCTTGACTCGGAATCTGCGGGTCGCGAGTTCGAATCCCCGTCACACCAAACATGCTCGCCTTTTCAGACGTGGGGGCGTTATAATGTGATGTTCAATCCCAATATTCGTTGGTCAAAGAGTAGCCCAGGAGTTGGCGGTGGGTGGTGATGACTAGCTGCCTTCCCTCTAGTCTTAAACTGCTAAATTAGAGACGGCTAGCGCAGATAGCCCTCGTGTAGCTTTGCACGAAATTCATAACAAACCAAACTACTTCCGATTCATGTATAAGTTTTGGCGATTACTCCCGACTTCGCGGATAAGTTTTGACGATTACTTCCGACTTCATTTATAAGTGCTATTGTAAGTTTATGCGATCAACAATTAATTACGCATTGCATTAATTACAGATGTTAAAAACTACAATTTTCCACTACTCCTAATCTGAATAAAATATAGGCGAGTAAATTTGTGTAACAAAATGTAAAGTCAAGTAAAGTGATTCAGAAAAATAACATTTTCTAATGTTTTAGTCTAGATGAATTATAGTCGAGTACATGGATTTAAATACTAAATTTTTCTTTTATTTCATTTTAAATATAGTAATGTAAACAAATAATACAAGCTTCAAAATTTGAACTTCAATTGAGGTTTTCTGTTTTAAGTGGTTTAGTGCAATAAATGTATTCAAAACCTTCTAAACTCCCACAGTCTTATTGTATCTATTTGTGACAAAGATTTGTAACAATAAAGTGTGAACATCAAAAGCGATTTAGAATGAGCTATATTAAATTTTTTAAAACTTTAGGTTGCATGTCAAGTGAATTCTGGGAAATACATCTTCGTCTTATACCTAAATAATAATAAGTTTCATTTACTTTATTATTAAGAAACATGCGCAGAATTCCATGCTAAATCTGTCAAGTTTTTCGAGAAAGAACAATGATAATAATCCGACTCGTCTACCTTCATCATTTAACCGTCATTGCACGAGTTTAAAATTCTCCTTATTTTTCCGAAACAAACTCGGTAACTTGGTTCAATCTAAACTAGTATTTCAGAAAGCACAGCGCTTATTCAACGTTGAATAGAAAGTATAGATCTGTGTATTGCGAAACTATTTAAAAAATTCCTTCTTACCCAGAAATGAGCCAGCGTATTAACAGATAAAGTTCTCTGAATTTCCGCTGGTTCTAATTCATTGAATGGCTTCAGATTTACGACACCAGCATTGTTGAATAAAATACTGACGTCACCAACTTCCTGCTGAATACGAGCCGCTATAGACTCCACCTGGTGTAAATCTGATACGTCACACTTGTAGATATGAGCCACACCTCCAAGCTTCCTAACCTCTTCTGCCACATTCTGAATTTCATTCTGTGAGTTAGAAAAAGAAGTTACATTATATACATATATATATACTAGTGTTATTACCTCTCAGTCTTACTGCTGAGCCACCGAGCCACTACAAAGGGTTACCTACGTTGTATACTCGCACGTACATGGTTATCAAACAGCAAACCTTACGCTACTGTAAACTAGTTTAACAGTACGCATTTAAAATGTAGCCTGTTAAGTTTGTTTGTAGTTAAGCACAAAGTTGCACAAAGGGCTATCTGTGATCTGCCCACCACGGGTATCGAAACCCAGTTTTTAGCGTTGTAAGTCCGGAGACATACCGCTGTGCCACTGGTGTGTGTGGTGGGGGGGGGGGGCGCAACCTGTTAAGAAAGCTAAGGAAGAAAGTGTAAGACTAAATGCTACCGTGTATTATAGATTTGTAAGACAAAAACAAAAATAACAGGTGTAGGAAACTTTAAATTGGATCTTATTGTGGTCAAAAATATGTTGTCTACCTGTAGTTTATATTTAAAATGTTATTATACCTTGTTAATATGTTGTCTACCTGTAGTTTATATTTAAAATGTTATTATACCTTGTTAATATGTTGTCTACCTGTAGTTTATATTTAAAATGTTATTATACCTTGTTAATATGTTGTCTACCTGTAGTTTATATTTAAGATGTTATTATACCTTGTTAATATGTTGTCTACCTGTAGTTTATATTTAAAATGTTATTATACCTTGTTGTTCGTCTGTCGTTATTGATATGAGAAAATATTAACTCCGTTGGTTCCTAAGCGGAAAGAATATTTGTACTATATTTTTACATTCTTAATTAGGTTATCTAGATATTCACACTAGATAAAACATGCCCTTAACGAACTTGAAAAAATTGCGTGAACGAAGAACAGAAACAACAACCCTGTGTCTACCACGCTTGATTAATATCAGTTATTTCTGGCATACATTACCCCATATTCAGCGATTCAAGGAGATGTTATCTGGTCGACAACCGAAATCAGTATCTATTATGTGTTTTGTACTCAGCGTTTAGAGAATACAAATCAGGATCTATTATATGTGTTTTACACAGCGTTTAGAAAATACAAATCAATATATAATATATATATTTTACTCAACGTTTAAATAATACACATCCGTATCTAATATATGTGTTTTACACAGCGTTTAGAAAATACAAATCAGTATCTATCATATGTGTTTTACTCAACGTTTAAAGAATACACATACATTTTGGTTCTTATACCTGTTTAAACTGTTATGATTTATAATGATGGCACCCTTCACACAAAGACGTTTTGGCTGTATTCCTGTTTTGCCTGGTATAGCTTATAATAATGGCACCCTTCACAGAAATATTTTTGGTTCTGCTCCTGTCTTGCGTGGTATGGTTTTAGAATGATATTGTCCTTCCCATGAAGACTTTTTGGTTCTGTTCCTGTCTCGCCTGGTGTAATTTAAAATGATGACACCCTTCACAGAGAGAGTTTTTGGTTCTGTTCTTGTCTCGTGTGGTATGGTTTAGAATGATATTGTCCTTCCCATGAAGACTTTTTGGTTCTGTTCCTGTCTCGCCTGGTGTAATTTAAAATGATGACACCCTTCACAGAGAGAGTTTTTGGTTCTGTTCTTGTCTTGTTTGGTATGGTTTAGAATGATATTGTCCTTCCCATGAAGACTTTTTGGTTCTTTTCCTGTCTCGCCTGGTGTAATTTAAAATGATGACACCCTTCACAGAGAGAGTTTTTGGTTCTGTTCTTGTCTTGTGTGGTATGGTTTAGAATGATGGCACTGTTCATCGAACACTAAATGTTTTGTGGTAATGTCATAAGTTGATAAACTTGCCAGTTACACTGTTACTCTGCAATGATTCTTTTTTTAACAGCCATAAGATCACGCAAAACTCCCTCTTGGTACTTCTATAGATAAAGTGTATCTGTTTTACATTAATCAAAACTTACAATAACACTTTAATGTTATGATACTTGAGATATGTTTACCATTGTCAAAAATAATAGTCTAGGCAGTGAAGATAGCTGGTTGAACTGTGGTAAAATAATCAATTTTTATAACACTGAACTATATATATATATACGTAACATAAATCCATAAATATTCGAGTGATAAGACGTCGGTTCCTACTTTTATTTTCCAATTATGTCAGAGTAATCTAAGAGAAAACGTAACAAACAGAGGCGTATGCTACATATCTCATTAAACTATTAAACATTGATTATTTTAACGTAAATACAAGCGTATTGTTTGGAAGTAAAATTATGCAAATCATAACTCTTCTCAATACTCTAATTCTAATAGAACCGATATAAATCACATTACGGAATAATATGAGGGCCTTGATTGGAAAGTTAAAAGGTAACTTAAAATAAGTCATTAAACACATCTTCGAAATATATTCTATGTTTTGTAAATGATACAAACAAAAACTGACAATAATTACAATTCATTTGTTTAATCTGGCTCACACCATAACGGTTGTTTTTCATGAAAATGTATGATATATATATATATATATATAGCGCTTAGACCACTACTATATATGTCATATTCCAGCCAGACTGGTGAGCCCTGGTGCTAGCCGAAAAACCTAGTCTGCACTGAACATAATAGATGTAGTGGGGTTGACATATTATAAGTTGTTTTCCTTTGCTTTCATTCATGGGCTCTTATAATACGTGTACTCAGAAACTTAACATATTATAACCATAGAGTATAGAGGCAAACATACTCATACTAACATCCAAACAAAATACTTGACATAGAAATTTCAATAACTATTAATATTTATGTTTCAACAACATCGCCTATTTTAGTTTCATATCGTTCAAAATAGCTGTAATTTACTTTTATGACCCTTAATGTGTCATTTCAATAACTATTAAGATTTATGTTTCAACAACATCGCCTATTTTAGTTTCATATCGTTCAAAATAGCTGTAATTTACTTTTATGACCCTTAATGTGTCATTTCAATAACTATTAAGATTTATGTTTCAACAACATCGCCTATTTTAGTTTCATATCGTTCAAAATAGCTGTAATGTACTTTTATGACCCTTAATGTGCCATTTCATTACTGATCTTTATACTCATGCTTAACAGTGACATATGCATCTAGTGCAACGTAAAAACGCTTTGTACGAAACTAAAACCTCAAACTCAAGCTGCATAGAGTTATCATAAGCTCAGTGACTGTTCTAAACACTATTCAGTAAAAGTCTTTGTGACTAGGGTATCCATGTTAATATTCTCGATTTTTTTCATTGTTTCAGATATTGATTTCTGTTTGTTGCTTTAATACATAAGTAGTAAAACTTCTATGAAAAGTTAACAAAAAAATAAAGCCCTTATATAAACCCTCAAAATAAACAAATTATCAAAATAAATCGGGCTGAGAAGTATTTGAAAAAAATGCATTGAGAAAATAAAGCCTGGTATGTTTAAGTATCACTAATTATTGTGAATTTAAAATAGAGACACTTACTAAACACTTACATGACGCTTTCATGTATAATAATTGTGCATTCAAATTTGTTACCATAGATTATCTCAGAAGGAATAATTTCCAACTAGTCTTCTTGATACGTTTTTATAATTGTTCTTATAGTTTAGTTACATCCTTCCGATGGCTTAGCGGTAAGTCTGAGGGCTAAAAACGTTAAAAATAAAATTTCGATACCCACAGAAGGCTGAGCGCAAATAACACAATGTGTAGATTTAGTTTAACAACAAACGAAAAAACTTTAGTAATAATATCTTTTTTTTTTACAGTTTTTTTTTCAACTCAGAAACCTCTTTCAAACTAAATCATTTTTCATAAATGTTGCAATTTCTGTTGCTCATAAACGTATTTCTCAATAAAACATGTTATAATACAAACTTAAACGAGTTAATGTGGAGAAAAAATTATGCAGAGCATCATTTTAAAAATATTTTTTTAGTAATATATTTTTGTATAACATCCATTGTATGTATATGCTTCCAATCAGTAGGTTATTAAGGTCAAATGTTATAATACAAAATAGCATTGAAGCTCTGCACATAATTCTGTGGGTAAAGATTGCTACAAGTTATTTAAGTTTGTAAAATATTACAAAGTCATTTTCACATTAATTGGCCTACCTATTCTCAAATACTATTTTTACTTTCCCCTGAGAGATTGAGAATGACCTTGTTGTTAGCGTACATGGTTATGGATTGGAAAGTACAAGGTTCGAAACGTGATGTGCCGCTAAAAATGCTTCATCTCTTCGTTTGGAGAGTGCATATCTTTATGATTAAACTTTTAAATTTACACTAACCTAACCCTTCATCTCGTCCTGCCAACGTTCAATGATTCTTCGCAGCTTTTTAAATACCTTTTTTGCGTGAGAGAGAATTTCTTTCAAAAAACTTGTGTTTTTACTTTATCATCACCAAGATCACCGCGTTCTTTTACCTTTTTGTTCAACTGTTTTATCTTATTTAACAGCAATGATTAGTTTTGTTCATTAAGTCTTCAGACAGGTTTAAAACCAGACAGAGACTAAATTATCAAAGGGGGAAAACTTAAATATATAGAAATATAAGAATAACCTCTAAAAAACTTACTTATAATCTTCCTTTATTTCAATTTCATTTTGAAAAACACTTCTTCCAATTACCGCATCTAAAGTAATTCAACTCCACCATCACTGACTGGATGGATTTTTAAATAATTACAGTAATTACTTTAATTAAATACATTTTCTGTGCGAGAGAGAATTCCTTTCAAAAATCATCTTTTTACTTTATTATCACCAAGATTATTGTGTTACTTTTCCATTGTGTGTAAAGAGAGTAATTACTGACTTTGAGTTGTAACAATGAATTATTACGAACCAGTTACGCGTGTATGTATGTCTAGCGGGTCTATCAATACCAATAGTTTATTCAGGTTTTATAAAGTTACGTTACCTTCACGAGTATAATCTGCCCTGCACTACAGTGTGTGACAGTTTTTGTCACATAAAA